AAGAGAAAAGAAACGACGCAGAGTGGAGATGGCTGGTATTTTGGTGTTTTGTTCTCTGAGCTGGATGGTTTGGTCGTGGAGCTTTCATCGTTCTTCTGAACGACATCATCAGCACAAACTTCAGATAGAAGAAGATGGCTGGTAAGCCAACTCCCCATTTAACCAAGCGTTAATCAATATTTATAGTTACACAAAAGTAAGTTACAGACATGTGATGAGTAATGGATTGATCAATGTACACACACATACGCGTTCATATAAAAACAGTCAAGATTGATAAGCGATTAAATAACAAGGTCAGAATGTGACTCAAGTAGAATGAATAGAATGGGCTGTCTGAAAGCTAGAATAAGGTATGTGGGCTTAACATAATAACCGACACTACAAGTTTATCACCTTTATTTGAAAGTAAATTATTCACTCACTATACTTATTCTTGCAATTAAAAATTCATTGATTGGTACTTGTATTTAATATGCGTCTATTAATTGTATCGAATTTTGACAAACTCAAGTGTTACTTTATCCAAGACACATTTTTTTTATAAATGATGATTGCTAATAATACAAGCAGACACACATCGTCATCGCCATCATTGGTCCCGCTGAGTAGAAAGAGATCTTTTGCTTGTCATAGTTTTTAGTTTAATTGGAATATCTGTTTTTATTGAAATATATGTATGTATGAAAGAATTACTGATTAGTGTACAGTAAATAAATCTATGCATAATGTGTAAATATTTGTAATAAATATACAATTATCTCTGAATATACATTATCTTTTATTGAACTTCCAACAATTGTACAATACTGCACTACATCTGCTTTCATCGTTTTATCTTTTTCGACAGATTGTGCAAATTTGTGTAGATTATTGAAATGCAATTGTAACTAACACTGAACAATACTAGATCCCTAATGTAATATTTTAATTTATCTCAACTATGTTTTATACATAGACCAAGTGTTGCCTGACTCTCATTATTATTAATATTAGTGGCTTTACTCAACATTATATTTTTGGTACAATATAGAATTCTCAGTACAAGGTTTTTTGAAAAGTTTCTTTTACAAAAAATAAAAAGTGAAAGAAACTGATAACCGCATACATAATATATACCTAAGTTAAGTAAATAAACTACCTGGAATGAAATGAAATGTTTTTTAAAGATTATTTGAATCTGTACAACTTACTAGTTAGAAACATGTTTAAGAATACAAGTTGTTGACTAGGTGAACTCTAACAACCTGTTCGTCACATAATATATTTGCTAGATAAAGTATTATAGAGCTATAATATCATTCCTTGCGTGCATGGATTCTAAAGTATTGACGTCTCGTTCTACTAGAAGATATACACGGCGAAAGATATGAGTGGAGGAGATGGTTAGTATCAGATAAGATAACACCTGCCAGGAGTTCGCAAGATTCTGGATATCTATCCACAACCATATTATTAATGACCTCAAAAGATTCACCCTGCTTATCACCATCAGCACTCTCTGCAATACAGCAATCTTTTCTCAAAAGGCTGAGAAGAAAAAGATGAAAAACTATAAAGAATAATAGGTAATGTGCAAGAATTGACAAATTGTAAGAGTAAATATCGAGTAATCGCAAAAGCATGCAGCCTCTTTATGTGGTAAGTCAAATGGGAAACTTTCTTTGATAGCAGCAAAACATGAGATGACCAAGAGAAATTAGAGGAAAAACTTGCGCCAAAGTAAATGACTTTTGACATTGTGTTTATCAATGAATCCCCAGTAGTATAAGCTTTATGCGATTCCAACAGAGTGTTTAGGTATTGTTCATATCTCATGTTAAAGTTAACAGTTTGACGTTTAGATGGATTAAGTGTGAGCTCATTAACAACAGACCACCATTTTCCATACAAGACAAGATCTCATTCATTTCCAGTGAATGTAAAGAGGTAGAAGTCGGCATACGTACAGTGAGATCGTTCGCATATCTCACAAACGTGTTTTCTGTAGAGGATGAGAGACCATGCAAAAACAAGGAAAAAGAACAGCAGTAGCGAGATCGAACACTTTCCTCCAAACACGGTGTACTGTTCTCTTCCAGACATGTAGGAACATAGCTAATTGGTTATCCATCTGTCAGTGTTGACGCTGATTAACAGGATAAGTAGTTGTCTTAGAATATAGTCAAAGGCAGAAGTATAGTCTAGAAAATCTCATCGAACATACTTACCCTTTTCCAAGCTGAATACTATATTATGATACAGAACAACAACGTCATCCAGTGTACTTCTTTTGAATTTGTAAGAAAACAAATACAAGTCAATGTGCTTTTTTTAATGTAGGTTGAAGTGGGAGTATCAATAATTTTCCATTGTTTTGAGAAAAGGTGAAGTTTTTGTTATGGTTCTAAATTTCACATTTTTATCGCCCTGATACTTTGTTAGGTATTGGGATTATCTATATCTTTTCCCACATTTTCTGTATGAGATTAGTTGAGAAGGATCTGTTTAAGATGCTCTTGAATGGATAATACAGAACATCAGCAAACGTTTTAGAAAGGAGGTTTGTAATTTCCACAGGTCCTAAACATTAGGAAGAGTTAAGTGACTAGAGACATTTTCGGACATCAGCTTTAGTGATGATTTAAACAGTACTATTCTTTAAGCCTGTGGATATAGGGAGCATGAAATCAGATGACTGACGTACAAAAGATTTATATAGGTCACAAATATTCAATTGGTTATCGCTCCTAATGTGCCTGTTACCTGTAAGTCCTTCAAACAGTTTCTACATACTTGAAGAGATTTTAAAAGATAGTAGTTTCTGAGTAAACATCATCAGTCATACATTAAGTATCACTTACTACCAGCTATTGAGCAAAGCAAACAATTTTATAAAGTTTTTATCATGTCATTACCTTAATACTTGTCTCGTTTTTCAAACTATTAATATTTTGCAGCATTTTTTTCTTAAACTTTAGAAACTCACCTATCCTACTAAAAAGGTGGGTAACAATCCTCCTGTCCTAGAATTTTTTTTTAAAACGTCTTGGTTTTTTTTTGAAATATGTATTTTTATTAGGTGCAAAGAGACACTTAAATGTATGTTATCTTTTTCATCAAATTATCGAAATGAATGTGTTTTGAGGACATGAATCGTGTTCATGTATGATCACTATGTCACTTAATTGGTGTAAGCATACCTTTTAGTGAAAATACGTATATTATTATATGTTGTACCAGTGGTATTTTGAATTAAATAACCGTGTCATAACGACTAATATTTCTGTTTATCTAATTTGTATGAAAAAAAATGCAAGTTCCATCCAACCCCGTGTTAGTTTTTCTCACACAAATGTGTTTGCATAAGTATGAACCAATAAATAAGCCTTCGCATTCCAGTTGAGTGTTGTTAAATAAAGCATTATTGAATACAAAAATTACCAGATCGGTTTGATAATTTTCATGTTATTAATTATTTCGACGACAGGTTGGTATTTAACCTTGACCATTTTATTCTGTTAGTTTTCGACAGTTCTAAAATCTTTTTTAGCAATTAAATAAATCTCAGTGTATTTTCTATGTATTGGCGTAAAGTTTAATATCTTATAAATATCCTCATGCAGTTTCTTCATTAAATTCAACCTTTGGTTAAGAAAAAGTTGATGTGATTTTTCGAGGCAAGTACTATTGAAATGCACATGAAGAAACCGGTAAATATCGATTTTTATCATCTTGTTTGTTGATCAAGTTCAGTTACACAATAAAATCAACATCTTTCTGACAATTAACTTTGAAAGATACGGTTCATTTCTCTTTTTCTGTCAAAAATTCTGATTCAAGTAAAGACATCTTTAGTACCTGTTCCTTAATATTTCTCTGTTTTCTATGTATATGGCCTTTGGTAAAACATGTTACGATTTCCTCGAATTATTGTTCGAGTAATATCTATGTTATCTTTAAGCTATCTAAAGCCAAGTAGTGATAAGAACGGTATGGTTGTTGTGTATCTTTTTACATTTTAATAAACAACTGAGTATATTGAGGCTTCCCACTGGTCCACGATACTTGCGAATTAAGGAGCGATTCACCTATTTTTATTTGTAAAGTGTTGTTGCGGACTTGATAACCGCAATTAGTACACTGCACTTCAACAATTACCCGTTATCACAGGAAAAAAGATGAAGTGTTGGAAAAACTTGATATTCTAGCAGAACATCTTGAATTTGTGCAAATGTATATATAGTAACGATAGCATGACCTTCAAGGATGCAGAAAATAAACGGACTAAAATTAACGGCAAGCAATCAAAGGAGAACAGAGTTCATGCGTAAAATTGGATTGGAAGAAAATCATTTGTGGTTGAGTACTTTCCGAGTCAAGTTTATTAAATATTTCAGCTCGACAGGTTACAGAATACATTGAACTCTCCTTATTTGTTTAAAAAAGAATGTGTTCTTAAAACAGCTATAACATTACCTAGCATCCTGGTTAAGCTTAATTCCATCGATTTCTTTCGGGTTTCGCAACAAATGTGAAAACGCCCGTTCAGAACACATCACTAATCCTAACTAAATGTTCCCGGTAGAAAATTGGCGCTAATACTAGATGGAAAGGTCAGCTAATATTATAACATTGTATAGCTACTGAGGTTTCAGCGTAAGAATAATTAACTGATATTAAAGATGTTTTGTAGTACATAAAGTGAAGAATAGTCATTAACACCCCGAGATTTTGCATTAAGGAATGAATTTTAAAAATATGGTCCCTACCAGACCGACTGTGAGTTTTAATTTACATTTAATTTTCAAAAGAACTCAAAATATATATACACTAGAAGAATGAATAGATTTTAGATTTTACAACACTTATACGTTTTTAGCATTCGACATTCAAGTGTCCCTGAAATGGATTAATCTAGCTGATTTAAAGATTTAACACTGTTTAAATCCAACTGTAGTTATTTTCAAAGTTTTCGTTTCGTTTTGTCATCGTTTCGAATGATTTTCTTTTATCATTAGTTTCAAATCCTGCGGAATTTGATATATCATCAAATACACCAACTCCATCGGATTCAGCAAATTGCAACAGTACTTTATATCATAAACAAAATGTAGAAGTAACTTTAACGGAACCTGTTTCTTTCTCATTGGTAACTGCATCCACACTATCTGTAAGTCGCTTTTTTAATGTATATTTACAGGATTTTTAGAACTTAAAATATCTGTATAAAAGTTCTAAAATTCCGTACACATTACATATTACAGAGTCTCATTGATTTTAATTAAAATTGACATTTTATTTCACGGCGTCTCATCAACTGTAGACAATCCAATTTACAACTGGTCAATCAATCCCAAAATCGCGAAACTGAAATTTAAAGATCATAGAGAGAAAACATGAAATCAAATTATGAATCACTAGTTGTGACAATTTTTGACTAACCGGGCAATTAGAATAACCTACAACTTGAAACGGTACTCCTTCAGCATATCATCTGTGAAGTAACTAAGTAGGTTAAATCATATGATTGGAAGTTTCACAGCTGTACTTTTTGAACTTGTAGTCATTTTATTAGGCTTGATAATTATTTCCAGATTAGTTTTAATCATCACACTGATATGTAACTATTAAAGGTTTGAGCATGTTATTCTTTATCGTATGGTGACCGGTTCAGTAAAATTGTGTAAACCACAAAGCTTTGGAAATAACAAACCATTAAGACATTTCGGAACTTTTGTGTGCGTTACATAACAGGATACATCACTTATAAGCTGTAGAATGTTGAATTTGTACAGCAAATTAGAAACATCATAGTGTTTTTGGAAGTTAAACCCGTCTTATTACCTCCTTGACTTTTAGCCAAGCATTCAAATGACCCATCAAATACAGCCAACTGTTTCTGTTTTGGAGGATATTAAGCCTACTGGTTTTATACATAAGAAAATAACTCGTCCAGAACACTTTGCTGTGAACAGATCACTTGGACAAGAGGTAACATATGTTTCAAAAATTGTTGGAGATTCCCCCACATCAACACCTACATATCTAGGTGAAACGACTTCGCATCTTTCGTCGTTACCCAAAACAAGACATGTATCAAAGCAGAGAACATTCCATATTCATCCCAAACTGCCTGAAACATGGGATGATATTCCCTCTCATATATCTGGTATTCGAGGTTCATTCCCCGCAAACTATAAACAGAATTCAGTGTTCAATGTTCCTCCACAATCTTACCCTCTATATACTACAGATTTGTGTAAATCAAAACAACTAGATTCCTTCCGACCCCATGTCCCTCCACGGCCTATTCCTAAAGTAACTCGTGCTGCACCCCAGTTTAGTGGATTCACTACGACTGTTGAATCTGAATCACGTCCATCCATCTTCAGTTCAAGTAACCAAACGATTCCAGTTAAGTCCGATTCACTTCCCGATACAACAAAAAGCAAGTCCCTACGTGTCTCAGAATCCGATGTTTATGTCAACACTTCGAACATTCGTTCTTCACCACAACCTGATGCATTGACTAAAATTAAACAGCTACCTCAAGGTTCACTGAATGGTGATGATAAACAAAGCATCACCGAAGATTTTGTTAATGACCACGGTTTTGAAAGATCATCTGTTAAATATGCTTTGAGGTAAGCTCAATATAAGTTTGTTAAATGTATGTGGGGTGTCAGTTAGTGTAACCAGTACATTTTGTCGTATATTTGTATCCCAGAAGTTAGCTTATCTGTATTCTTGTATGTCTTTGTTATCAGAGATAGAATCTGTAGTCTCATTGTAATATTTTATTAGCGAAATCCATATAGAACAAATTATTTTTTTAACCAGACCTTAGTCACTTCTCAGTAGTTTCAGTTATCTGTTTATTAATCTTACTGACTTAAATATTAGGCTGTTTACTGCGCTAATTATTTAGTCATACATAACCTTGGTAGCGTCATTTCTAAAGAGGTCCAGTTACACATAGGGTCATAAATGTATCGACTTAATACTAACTGCAAGTAGATGTTTAAACGTAAAAACTAGAGCCAAGTACCCAAACCACCGCTACTGAATAGCACAATATTGTTAATCATATAGTCATTCGATGAATGCATATATATGTAAGGTCGTCGTCACATAAGAGTAATTTGTCTAGAATGCTAACTGTTAGCATCTCACTTCTGGCTATATATATATATATATATATATATATATATATATATATATATATATATAATCACACGAAATTGTTTGATTGATCGGAAAGAAAAAAATCGAATTGATTTTTCATTCAATACAATTATAACGCTGTTGCTTTTTCCCTTGTAATTGCAGGTCTTCTGATGAAACTGAGAAATTTCCACTGCCAGTACATCAAGTTTGCGAAAATTCGGAGGTTGAAGTACCACCAATTCCCCCTCGGACGCCACGCGTGCGAATAATCGATATTAATCAATTATGCGCAGCGTGTAATTCCAAACTAGGTAATCTCAATAAACCGATATATTTAGTTCATATGCTTAACAATTTATCTATTACATTTTAGAATCATTAATAGTTTTATGCCATCACATAAACCTGACAGTGCTTAGTTATGAGCTAAAATAATAAAGTAAGATAAAATAACTTTTATTTGTAGCTTGGACAAGCTTACCAGTTGTAGTGAGCTACTTTCCTGAGAATCACTTATTTGCTGGTACATTTTCCCACAACTCTTGCAACTAAAATATTTGCCGGTCATCCTACTTTATATCCTGTGTAACACTTGTTTGTTTTGTCTGCACAAATCCTGCATTTACAAGAACTCAAAAATTTCCCATAGTATTTGAACCAAGTGGTTTACTAGTGGTTAAAAGACTCGAAACTGCTAATCACCTGGTTTGACCCTCTTTTTAGTTGCTTTGTTTTGAGGACCTCAGTAATTGTACGAGATTTATGTTGAGTAAAATAAAAAGTTCGTTTAGAAATAACTACTAATATATGATTACTATATGGAAACTAAATGATGAAAATAGTCTGAACAATGATCGACTGTTAAGCCAAAAAATTAAGAGTAGACCTGACAGTTTGAAAAAACTTCATGTGCACTTTCAATCTCTACGAATAACAACCTTACACTTGGCCTGTAAGATTCGATTACTATGGATTCTTAAGCTTTTATCAGAATGTATGCGTTAAGATTTATCCTCAATTATATTTAGTACCAAACTTCAGGTTTTCGTAAAGATTTAAAACATTTATAGGGACATATTTCAACACCTTTCATTTGAGACTCCTGTGTTTAAAATTAAGAAACCTAACTACATTTTAAATCTCAAAACTCTATCTCCGTAAATGCTTTTCTTTTCGAACGATGTTCGTTTTTTGTTCTAGATTGTCGACAGATGCTACCTTTGTAATTTGAGTATTTTGAACCAAACGTAATAGCCTCGCGGTCTTTGTTTATTTGTTGCCACTCAAAAATGAGGTTTGTCATCTAGAATAAACACTTCTAGTCTCCTATTTCAGTATGCATAATAGAGATGTTGATGCCGGAGAAATCAAGCCATAACTAACCCCTGTATTACTTAATAACATACAAAAGCCCGTTGTTACATTAAGGTTCTTTGTGTTCGTCAGACTCCATACATTCCTAACTGCCGCAAAATATTTAACAGCAATTACAATACAGATACTAACGTTAGAGATCCCAGCTAGGTTTCAGTTTTTCGAGTTATCCATAGCTATTATAAACATCCACAGTTTAGTTTGTGTATAAATTAACAGTCTCTTTCATCGCAGATCGATTAAAATGATTTACTTCATTTACTTTTTACACAGATTCTGAGGACTCAATGGTTATTGAATCCTTAAATCTATACTATCATTTACCATGTTTTGTATGTGCAAGATGTGGAATCGCGTTAGGCGATGGTCTATCAGACGTGGAAGTTCGTGTTCGGCGTAACTTGCTTTACTGTTCACATTGTCATTCCAAGAATCTCACTGTATCGAATTATAACAAGAATGAATGTCATCCAACGATGCAAAGTGTGCAACCTAGCTCTCAACCACTAAAACCCACTGATAAACGACACCGAAACGGTTCAGAACAGCAGTTATCATCTAATTTAAATAAAGTAAGACTAGATAACATTGATTAAAATTTAAATGACATTATTATTCACCGAACCTACAATACGACTGTTATATAAGTTCTAAACTTTAGGCATTATTAAAGCATATTCACATAAGAGCAGCTTATTTTTGATATCATGACCGTAAACTAACCGATAAGAAGAAACCCAAGCCGCTGAAAGTTGGTTAGACTTATTAGGATAGCTGGAATTCCATTGTCTATATTAAGAAAATACACACATTGACTATGTAATGGGAATACGAAAATTCCAAGTAAGATTTTAGGAACATATTATTCAGCATACTAGTCACAGAGACGAATGACTTGTTAAGTTATTCAGACGTTTCAAAAGAAGCTTACGTTGGAGACAAATTTTTTAACTGATAAATTATAACAGCTACCAACGCTGCATCAAAACCTTACGTTTCCCTGGTTATCAGACCAATTTTCGGAATTTCACTGAATGATGCACGGTTAACATGTCCACTATAAGTGTTACTTCTAACCTTTGTAAGTCTTTAGGGGTAAATATCAGAGGAGTCTATTTATAATGTAAATTCTGTCCCCTCTCACTTAATTTGCGATATTATCCGTTCGATATCGATTTGCGAAAAGAAAAACGGTCGCAGTGACATCAGACAGAATATTAATCATTGAGTAGTGATCAATTGCATATTTATTTTGTTCCTTAGTCCTGGTCGAACTATATCGATCAAGTTGCAATACAGCCACTGGTTTAAGCCCTTCAAATAACTCAATGGTAAGGTCTCAAGTTGTAGAACTAGGTGACGCGAGTTTGAATCCCGCAAGGAGCACCAGTTCCCTTGAGTACGAGCGCAAACTAATTTCGGGGTTTCCTGTCGACTACCTACAACCCCTTGACTTCAGAACATTGAACTGACTCGTAAAAGAGTTTAAATATAGTACGCTAGTTTAAACCATATTTTAACCATCACCCTTTAAAATCCACAAGTTTTACACGAATTATACGGGAAAAATACTTGACCAGTCGTCAGCTTTCATCTAAATGTAAACTATTTTAGATTGAAACCCTGTGGTTATAAAAACAAGTTTTCTTAGCAATTTATAAATTTTCAGTTGATTTTCATAAGAATAACTTTTTCGTTGATTCTGGAGCGATTTGACTGCCTCATTCCAAGAAATGGATGTAACCTCACTGCCAAAACACAAATTAGTTGGCTTTCGTAAATTTCAACACAACAGTGTTATTCCTGCACTGATTTACATACAAGAAATTAATGGAAGATAAACACAATAATATCATGAAGTTAAAATCTCTATTTATTTATTTCAGCATCACGTTCTGTAAACTGCCTTCGTTTTTCCTTTGTTTTAATCAAAAGAACACAATTTCTCAATATTGTGCACTATGACTGACGATTCGAGCTTAATAACTGTGATTTCGACGAGTTCAAACCGGAAATTTAGATCACCAACAGGCTTCGTAAGATGATTCCTACTTAATCATAAATTTGAGCTATAATATGCACTTTTATCTTTCATAAAAACTGAAGCTACAATTTTGTACGCATAATTTTATTTTGCTTGGCGATATCCTCTTATTTTGCTACTATTACTTTCACAATTGATTCGTTAGTTGTCCTCTAAAATATCATTTATATATTATCATCTAATTTTCTCTATATGCGACTCTATCGTCACACTTATGTACAATCCTTTTAAAAATATCGTACTTTAAACTATATAATCGGAATATGTCCAAGATATCTTAAAATACTACTAGTGTGTGTTTGTAGTAACATTGAAATATCAAAGTGAAGATATACGACAAAAAACTAATGCTTTTTAATCTATGAAACTTTTTGGTGATTGGAATATGTTTGTCATTCAAAGTTTACAAGTTATTTCGTTCTTTAAGTGGGGCCCAAAAGTAAGGTGAACGAGATTTTTGACTTCTCCTGAATGAATAAAGAATACATATCGTGTAGTATACTAACATACCTAGGTCGAAAATGAAACCATGGAACACCGAAAGCTTTTGAAAGTTCTACTACAGTAGGCTCTGCAGAATTTTTGATGATTGTATCGGGTACATTGATTTTTAGAGGAGAAGTTGGAGTACGTAGCGATTTAATGTTATGTGAAATAGGCTAAAAAATGATAGGCTAAGAAAACCTACTTTAGTACACTCATAAGGAACTTTTCTGACTGGATGCCAACAAACGACGACTGCTCCATCGGGAGAAAGAGTTATAGCTGACTCACCACTTTAAAGTGATTTCAATAAAAATAAAAATACCTTTCCACCAATTCTTTCGACAACCTATAAGCACGGGTTGCATTGATTTGAAATGATCTAGAAAAAACATATGGGCTAACATTAAATTAATTGTGAATACGTGACATAAAAATATTCAGTTACCAATAAATAATGCTGTTTATTTACTTACTGGAATATAGCCTACATCTATGGTGTGAAGTCCAGTAATACAATTTAGTCCCATGAACCTTAGAAAGTTAGGCTCGAGTATGCAATCCATCAGTTGGAAACAAAGCTCAAAACTATTGAGCAACATCGCCATGCATATTTAGTGACAAAATAGTTTTAGTGATCATTGTTCCACCTACAAGGTGGTACAATAAGGTTCGTACTTGTTGTAACGAATGAAGTAGCACATAATAGATGTAGCTCACAACTTAATGGATATAATGTTTTTCCTTCGTACAGAACTCAAGTTGCTTTAAACAATTTTTTGTTACATCAGACATCGATGTACTCCTATGGATCATCTGCACTGCAGTTTTCTCGATTTTAATGCACGCCTACACTATAGTCTAAACGCTTACAGATGGATCACTCACTAACCAACAGACGATTATTAGCTCGATCAACGTAAAGAAAGAATCTCTGAGAATGAACTGTAAGAATAAAATACACATCGAAATTTGGCGCTCGTGTATTCTGAGACAAAATTCCACTCAAATACTCTTGATTTGCCTTTCACTTAGATGAGATATGTAATACAAAACAACACAACCCACAATAATAGCTCTGGATGTCCATCAATTCTCCAAACTTTTGGAAGACATCTGCAGTTGGATTTGCTATCAAATTATGTAGTGCACAGCATCAAAAGCTGATTGTCTGTGTCAGTACTTATTAGAAGACTTATGCTGCATGTTCTGCTCAATTATGTGGTTTCGGAGGAAATACATACTTGAAAAATTCGTGGCAGAACTGTAGTGTTGGGATGAGACAAACTTTAAGCCCTGTATAAAAGTCCTGAGAAATTTACGATCTTTTTCAAACAGGAAATAAAAGTATGTATAAGTACAGCGTGTGGAAAATTAATTCTACCAGCATTTGTGTGTAGGTTTCAAACTAAATTGATAAACTAAAAGCTGGAATGAAAGCCATTTTACTTTCGCAAGAAGACTTTAAATCACAAAATGAAAAGAAGTCTCACAGACCCCATTTATTAATATCTTCCTAAAAACTAGTTAATTTATAAGAGCCTAACAGCTTTCTACCTTTAGATAGATTTTATTTGAACAATATTGAAAAACTGTCTTAAATGGGACAAAAGCAAAGCAAGCAGCAGTCTGTAGTATCTATTTGTACGGGTACAAATCATTTGGACAGGCAGTTTTCGCTATTCTTATTTCTAGCACATTAGGTCTTCCCATAGTTTCGAAGTGCAATAATATAGACTCATGTTTCTTTCTAATCTACCAAGATGAAAGTCTACAACTTACCTACAAATGAATGTTTTCGATATCAGCATTTCAGAAAAAACTACCCTTTGCTAGACTAGGCAGCTAAAACGAAGAAAAAGGTAGGGCTAGTCATTACAAAAAATACTGCACATTAAAATTTATTGGAATACATTTCATTCCATAAGCAAGCAAAATGTAAGCACCCAATACATCAATTTTCAGTAAAACTTCAAGATAGTAAAATATACACATACGTGTTGCCCTACTACCTTTTTAACTGGGGATTTAGCTGTTTAGACAACTAACTGCCTTTGTTTTGACACTTATCTGTTATTATCATTTGTGAGCATCACTCGACTAAATATCGGTAACTGCTCCCACCACTACAAATCAAATATAGTGAAACCAACTTATGAACAATCTTCGAGTAACGCTGAAGTGACCTTAGGGCAACTCACCTACTTAGTAGGGTTATAAATTAGTAGTACGATTTAGAGTTGGAATTCGGGGTGGGGAATTAGATAAAGAGTTTCCATCACGAACTGACATCAGGCATAATCCCAAAATGCAATTTAATTATGTAGATGGGTGGTTTTCACGCCGGAATCCGAAACTTGCTATCCTTAATTCCATTGTTTTGTTCATGAATTGTAGCCTCGTCAGAAATGGTAAATGTTAAGTCTAGTATGGCATCTCATAGTAGACCAAACTCACATCACTGCAGCTATGAAAAGAATACTAACAGACGGCAATATAAAAGCAACAGAAAGCGAATCAAATTAAAAAAGATGAGAAGCGCAGAGAGTAACACGAAACAGATTGTTGCACAGATTTTCTCATTGAGTAAGCAAGCATATTACTTGCTCAAGAAGTGATGTTAGTAAAAGCGAATACTCTCCCAAGTTCTAATTACCAATACGTTGACCAAGGCCTCAATAAGTCTAAGCGCTTTGGATCACTATTTCTTCCTTTTTATTTGTTTGTTATAGTTTTTTTATTTTGAGAAGTTAGAAAATTCAACTGTTAACATTGTAACCCTACTACAGGTTAACATTGAACAACAGAATAGCAGCTTGATGACATTTTAACTATCTCTTTATGATCGGCTAATTCTTCTATTCCTTTGTACATAAATATCTTCGGCTCGTATTTGTGAATATCAACCCTGTTACTCATTACTATTCTTAATTCAGCAATGAATTTTTGTATTAATTACTCCAGCTTCAAAAGTACCAACATAATTCCAGTACCGTTGTATATATAAACACTAACTTAGATAACTTATGTACAGATTCCCAGAAACTATTTGTTACGTATTACAGATTGTTGACATGTTAAACGTAGGATGTCTAACCTTGAGATACGGGGTAGATTTGGACTAGCCGCTTCCCAATATATCCAATGTCTTTGTGGCGAGCTCGTACAGACTGATTGATATTACTCAATCGGTACTGTGTATGAAGATAAAATTGAACAAATAAGTTGAAGAAAGAAGATGATAATAAGAAAGTTAGAGCGTAGTTGCTGAAATGCGGCGATGATGGCCGTGGCAATTTGTAAACGTGCGTCAAACACAGCTGGTTCAAGAGAGAAATTGTAATCCATTGGTGAGTGCGTGTTCGTCAAAACTTCTCTTGAAGTTATCAACTGATGGAGCTATGGCCACTAAAATTAGCTTATTCATGTAGACCCGATCGACTTTCGAATGAAGTTTCTACTGAATCTAGTTTAACTCATCATGACAGAGAGTCATAGTCGGAGATTTATTAATTATTTTGCGGTGGACTAAGCTGTTAGACACTATAGAAAGGCTTTCCACGGGGATACACTGCTCACAGCATGAAACTTCACCTAAAAATTGCTGAGAGCACTATAAAGGAATATAGGATAATTGATTGTATTATGAATATATCAATTACGGAAACTACTGAAATCTTATCACATGTTTACTAACATATTTGTTGCACCTAGAAAAGCCAACATACTTTCTTCAAGAGTGGCCGAACTTATTATACTTAGGGTACATTTACATTTACAGAGTTCAAAGGTATAATTGGGAGTTCGTCGATATGTTGGTAAGTATGTGATCTATGATAACCAGCTGATTCTATAAATGCACAGCACAGCGCTCCCAATATTTGTCTGGTGCTGACGCTTGACCGAGCGAACTCATCAAAGGTTTGTTCAGTGTATCGGCATCAATATTCAATGCTTACAGAATTGTTTATTTTAGGGCTTCATTTAATGCTACGCTATTAATATTGCTCTAAAAAGAATTCATCAGTAAAGCCAATGAGGACTGAGACAAAACGATGACAATTCGTTGCTACAATAAATATATTATTATTAAATTTCAGGTAAGATGAGAACCGGCGGTTTCAATCTGGACTGGGTTGGGCATGAAGAGCAGCCCAGACCTACCTTCAACTAAGGTATCTTTTGTCTTCGGGACGTATTCGACTACGAAGTATATTCTTAAGTCCGAACTTCTAGATTTCACAGAATTACAACATCAAACAAAGCAGTGTCAAGGTCAAGCAAAATCCAAAACCGAGTGGTAATTTATTGATTTTTGTTGCAAATCAACCAAAATATTTTTCTTCACTACAATAATGGAAACAAATCAATTACAAACCTTCAGTGTTTAAGCATTCTAGAGTTCAGGTGAGAAGGAAGGATTAAAAAGCAGGGATGAAAGCAGGAGATCAAAGTCAACGTCATGAACAAAACAAGCTCCTTGCTGGCCAAAATAAATGTGTTAAAGTAGCGTTGAAATGGGATTATATTTACGTTGACATTTCAGCATTCAGTTTTCAGTAATCGTAATAGTAGAGTGACTGATCTGTAATAACTCCTCGAGTTTGTTTCACATCCGGTTTTCGACTTAGTTTTGGAAGTGTTCATTAAAAGAGCTGACATCACTCGTTCGAGTATAGTGATTCAGTTACTGACCACTTGATAAAAAAAGCAATTTTTTAAAATTTATGCACTATGAACTTTGGCCGCGGTGACAAGTTTGAGTTTCAGTCACTTTGGTGCTTTAAGGTTAATACTTCCTTATATAAATTAAGTACATACCACTTTTAGTATGACAAATGTAAAGTTTCGTTTCGTGTGATAATTATGTTGCCCATATCAATCCCGTTAAACAGCGCCCAGTGTACTTTTCACACTAATTCGGTCTGTCTCCCATTGCACACCTTATTATAAAGTGTAAAAATCAATACACAGATGAATTATCTCCTGTCTAAAGAAGATTTGATTTTGAACGTGATATTTTGCTTGGGTAGTGCTTTCTGATAGTCACTTCTCATCCGTAAGAAATTTCAATCTGTTTGTATTGTTTTAAATATTTCGACAATCTATCGAACTTGCCAGTTTTGCCACTAAAAGACAGAAATTTTCGAGGCAGGTTAACGATAAGAAAAAACTGACTATGATGGAGTTTTGTACTCTGAGCTGGATGGTTTGATCGTGTAGCTTTCATCGTTTTTCTAAACGACATCATCAGCACAAACTTCAGATAGAAGTGAAGTGTTCGAATTTCTCCATATGTGTTTCACAGCTTGTTCTGTACATCTCAATGGTGATTGCTCCTTATTGACCTTAAATTTGTCATTGTTTACTTCTTTGTTTTGGTTGTGTCTCCCATTGGTCTGAATTTTGTTCCTATATTTGTGTTTAATTTGCCTGATTGGTTGATAAATTGGATCGATTTCAATGTGCCTGGTGATTGCTGATTGACCTAAGTGCCAGGCTTCAAAAAATGCTCTGATGTTTTGGAATTTCCTCTGTTCAAGATTTCCACATTTTTACAATCGAATGAGTTTCCGTAGTTGTCCACGTGTATTGATATAAGTGAGGAAGTATCATGGTGTTTGACTGCCAATTGATGTTCGTGTAGGCGAAGGTGAAAGGGACATCCGCTTTGTCCAATGTAGTTTTTTCGCAGTTGGCACAACTTATTTTGTAGATGATGTTTGATTTGTCTTCCTTTGTTATTTCACATCAGTGTCTACACTGACTCATGCCATCGTAACATCACCAATATATGATGGAGAACACATTTAGGCTGGAGATAGAACAATATATTTCATGTGAATAAAAGAGATAAGTTACACAAGAGTGACAATGTCTGCAAGGCTGAACCATGCCATCCGACGAATTGAATTAATGTTCACACGTTCTCCGTAGTTAACATTCTCTTTGTGCCAATTGTTGAATATAAGTCTTTCCGATAATTATATACTGGGCTTCAAAATTCATGCTGTCACCATCTAATGCCACAACATATATGAATGTCTGGCCCCATATATGATAGCTTTTGACTTACAGATCTGAAATTTATTTTCGTATAAACTCTATGAACCATCCCCGAGATATATTCAACTTACGGACAATACTATTAGCCGTCACATAAAGCACGTGGCTTAAATTTGTAAATCAGTCACAATGTTATGCATCTTAAGAAAAATACCACAAGCTCCTACCAAATTCATCCATTTTTCTGAAGACCTGAATAGTAATCGGTTTGTTGCCCAAAACTAACCGAGCCATCAAGTTTTCTAGATCCTCTAAGTTTGTAACTTGACTGGTGTTTTTGTCAGTGTTCTTCCGACTAGTACCCAGGTTTATGCCATCAATAGAAGCCAATATGTCATTTTTTTAAATTCACAGATATCTGCCGAACTATCTAGATGTTACATGTTAATCAAACAAATGTAAAGGGATAAAGAAAGTTTGAGTAATGTTAAACAGAATAGTTTGGCTTGTCAACGAACTACAATAAGCTCACGTATTTTGGCAGTGATTATTTTATGTTATTTAGCGTCCATTTCAACGCTTGAGAACCTTTGTATAGAGCTTATCCGCAATACGTTATAAATGTTTCGAAAAATTCTTTGATTATAACATTAGAAGACAAACTACTTCCTTGGGTTGGTGTCTAATTTTCAATCACAATCAGTGATTTGGTTAAACATGAATGTTCGGGAGTTTGTTATAACTTGTGGGTGGAAAAACCAAGGTCAGTCAGTAATTGGACAAATATTAGTTTAATTATTTCGGATAATCAGCAGAATTGTCATCGGTGTCCTTGAACAACATCGGTTGTTGATTATTCAAAGTATTTTTTATTACCGTACTCATACAGAAACAGAAAATGGTTGTCGCTTACGAGCAATGGCAGTTGCCATTTCATCGACGACAGCAGCGTTTGGAAATGGATCATTAGGAATTTATAGACAAATTACGCACATAGCTACTGAATCACTCATCCTATGGAGATGTAACAGAAGTTAGCGAATTAATTTCTTAATTACTTATAGTGCTGGAAAATTATTGTGGAATGTATGTGTCGGTGAAAGACTCCATAAATCCTTAACAAGCAGCAATTTTGATGAAACAGTAGCAGTAATAAATGATCTACCTAGTGATCCAGTAGTGTCCATTTCAGAAACATACCCTATGGTGGGTTCATATATAATCCCCGTCGCCAATTGTTATGACTTGTAGCCTTATGTCCTGTAAGATCCATTTTGAATGTTTTGTATGTAAAAACCCCTGTATATCTACACTTGCAGTTTGTTCCTATTGATCCCTTTAGTTGTACATTTTGTTAGTCTTTTCGAATCCATTGGAGTTGGTAATATATGTATTTTATCATAGTTTTTTATTTTTCCTACGTCTTCACTAAGTTTCCATTTTCCTTCCTGAACTTCATTTATGTTGTTTACTTGATACTTAGTCTTGGCGGCAGCCATATTGATTTGTTCCTCCTTTTGGTTGTGTTGCTTGAACAATTATCGGCTGAATGTCAGGGTGGTCACATTTGTTTAGGTAACAATCTGCATTTAAATTTATAATGAATTTCAGAGTCGTCATTTGGGTTTTAACCGGACAAGGGCGCGTATATAACCCATCTAGACAGTTATTTTCCAGTTCAAACCTTAGTTTGGATATAACATGCCCTATTATTGTATAAAACGTGATGATACCGCCAGTCAGAGAACAATGAATTGCCGATCGGACCAACGACGCATAATCTCGTACGGACAGTCTAGAGTATTTATCGGTCTTTCTTCCTACCTATCCCTGCTTTTTGAGTCCAGAACACAAATCTCAGCCTCCGCGATATGAATCACATACTAGGTTTATATACAAGCCAAACAGACGATATCACACCATAAAATGGAAAATAACATTTGCACAAAATCTAACCAAAAATGGCTATGATTGTGGTAGATTGTGATTAGTGGACCGGGCATAACTCATGAAGTCAGCATCCAGAAGATACAAGTGTTTATTAACAGTTGTCTACGCAAAATACTTCCGATCCGTTTGTCATACACTATCATCAACAATCTACCTTGGGAGAGAACAAACTAGATCCCAGTGAAGAAAGAAATTGGGAGGAAGAGTTGGTAGGACAAACATTGAGGAAAGCACCCAACTGCGTCACAAGGCAAGCCCTCACATGGAATCCCCAAGGCCAAAGGAAAGGAAGAAGACCAAAAAACATATTACGGCGAGAAATGGGGACAGACAT